GTTGCGGGGCCCCCCCCCTCTGGCTTCTCGGGTGACCCCTGCCGTCGCGGCCGAGGCCGGGGGACAGCGAAGAGGCCCGGCCGGGAATCCAGCGGGAAGGTGAGACGATGCAAGGGTCCCAGGCAGCGCCAAACCCCCGGGGCCTCATGCGTAGAGTAAGGATAACATACACGTGTCTCCCAAAGTGGTTTTTGCTGAATTTGGGGATCACGGTTGCCGCTGGCTTGAGGGGCTGGAGTGTATCCTGAGCTGAGGTCAGACGAAGTACTTTTAGTCCCGACTACATGATAGCCAGCACTGTGGGGGTGAGTTCTTGACCAACACCATGCAAGGCTGAAACACATCAAAGCACAGGGCTGCTACTGAGGTTTACCACCCAGTAGCTAAGTGCCACGAGTAAGGCATATCCTTCGCACTCTCGGGGCAAGCCCAAAGCTTTGGCACTTTGAAGCTAAGGGATATGGAGCCAAGAGAATCTCTACTAATTGTTGGGAGAATACATAACAGGGACATACTTCCCCTCTTTCCCTTTCCTCCCTCCAATCAATCCACCTCCCCATTGTTGTGTCAAATTCCTGGTGTCTTTTTCTGTTATGAGTGTGTATTCCTAAATACAGAACTACAATCTGCTCAGTCTGTACAATGTTACCTGCATCTCTCTGATCTCGGGCGAGCCACTTGGTATTGGATACCCAATTGGGAACTCTTCCCTTTGGAAGAACACTTAGCTGGTTCTCAGCATTCCCCAGCTGCCTGTGGTTCTTTGGCTAGGGAGGGTTGTGTGAGCTTTCATGTGAGCTTTCGTGTGAGCATGTCCATTAGTGTCCTCATTGTCTTATTTAGGCAGCCATGCTAATGAAACTGGATGGTATCCTTCTTTGACTTTCTAGGAGATATAATCTCACAGCAAACTTCCTGCTCCTCTGGTTTTTACAACCCTCTCTTCAATAATCCCCAAGCCTAAGAAAGATAAATTGCTAGGTATGTCAAAGCTCAGTGCATTTGCTAAAGAGCAAAGTTTGTTGTCACCTACAGACATTCTTAGATTTCTGTAGCTTTTTGCCATAGTGCATTTTGTGTTCCTCATACAGTAATGTGTGTGCATCTGTACACATTTTAAATTCTGTGATAGGCTTGTATTCTAGGCATCATTACATAATAACAAATTATTCTGTAGCTCTTCAAGTGGGAGGGAAATCTAAGACATGTGTCATGATTATTAGGTTTGTATTTATACAAAGACTACTTTTGGGGGACTGGGGGTTCAAAACAGGGATTCTGTGTGGAACCCTAACTGTCCTAGAACTCACTTTGTAAATCAGGCTAACCTTGAACTCAGAGATCCACCTGACTCTGCCTCCCAAGTGTTGAGATTAAAGGCATGTGCCACCACTGCTGTCACCTCCAGCAGCACTGTCTAAGACTACTTATGTTTAACTGAAAAGTTTTACAAGCCTTTATAAAATTTATGTGTGATTAGGTTTGGAAGGAAGTCCATGTGGCTATTTGGTAACACACAATTTCTCTGGAGTTGTTAGTTGTTTATTAACAAGGATTCCTGATAACTTGCTGTTCGTTGACTGTATTATTGAATGCAATTGTTGGCACTGCAGGAATGATGAATAAGTCCCAGTGGGCACTTTGGGGTAAGCTGGATAGCCACCTGGCTTCTATTTGCTTGATGTTCTCATTTGTCTCTGCTGTGTTGCAGATCTGTTTGACTTGAGGAGGAGCTGCAGTACGGCCTCACTACAGGAGGGATGGGATCAGAGAACAGTGCTTTAAAGAGCTATACACTGAGAGAACCACCATTCACCTTGCCCTCTGGACTTGCTGTTTACCCCGCCATACTGCAAGATGGGAAATGCGCCTCGGTGTTTGTATATAAGAGAGAAAATGAAGACAAGGTTAACAAAGCTGCCAAGGTACTGTGATGGGTTTGTCTTCATAGGGCTTTTAATTATGAGTTTTCCCCTCAAATGAAGTTCATTTGAGGGCAATATGGTCACAAGCAGTGGTATTTTATTACCCGGTGTCACATAAAAACAGTTGTCTGTCTCTAACAAACCATCCCAGCAGCCAAAGATTTCACAAAACTCCTTGTGATCGCTTTTATCACAGTGCTTTTAACCAGAAAGATAGGCAGGTGGTTTCATACTGCTAATCTAAGAGATGGGATTCATCTAGTTTAACAAAAATGCTGCTTATTGATATTTTAATTAGTGTGTAGGTATGCTTGAAAATAAAGTATTTTAGGAATTTATATTATCTTTCTTGCCCTGAAACACTGTAATGTGACAGAATTTTCAAAAATATTTTATTTGTATCCTTTGTGTATGAATATTTTGCCTGCATGAATGTAATGGGCCATGTGTTTTCATTTGGTAGCCAGGGAAGTCAGAAGAGAGCATCAGGTCCCTTGGAACTGTTAGGGTTAGGGTGAGGTGTCATGAGGGTGGTGGGAGTCACACCTGGGTCCTCTGCAAGAGCAGCCAAGTGCTCTTAACTGCTAAGCATCACTCCAGCCCTTGTCCCGACATTTTCAATTCATGTGTTAGATTGGATGTCACCAAAAGAATGTTCAACCTACCTCTGGTTCTTGGTAAGAGACCTTCAGGGCCATTGACTTCTTGAGGCATCTGTTTTTAGCCCCAGTAAGAAAGTCCCTTTTGGCCCTGGTCACTGCCACCATTGGTTGAGAGTATCATTGTGGTCAGTTTGCTATGTGATTCCATGTCAGGGGACATTGACAGCTTAGAAGTAATGATGCTTAGACTGGTGGTGTAGCTCAACCATGTAGTATTCCCATGACGTTTGTGAGCACATGTGTAAACAGGGGGTTTTCTGTTCCACCCAGTCCTGCAGCCACTTTTAAAATAATCACTCAGCGGCTTAATATTAATTACAAACGGTTTTTGCCTATTGCTCAGGCATATTACTAACTAGCTCTTACATTAAATTAACCCATTTCTATTGATCTATGTATTGCCACGTGGCCGTGGTATTTCCAGCCTGCTGGCATCTTGTTGCTCAGACTCGCTGGCATCTGCCCAGACTCTGCCCTTCTTCTCCTGTATCTCTGCTTGGATTTCCCACCTGTGTCTATCCTGCCTTGCCATAGGCTAAAGCAGCTTCTTTATTAACCAATGGGAATAAAACATTCATAGAATACAAAAGGGTTATCCCGTAGCACACATGGATCTATCCTCAACACACACACACACACACACATAAACAATAAATAAATAGAGAGAGAGAGAGAGAGAGAGAGAGAGAGAGAGAGGGAAAAATACCACATAAAAAGAAAGAATGATCCCATCTTGGAACAGTATTCAGTAAAAACCCGTTTGTTTTTTTTTTCTTAAAGAAAGCAGTGCCCTGTGCTGGTAGTTCCTTGTACAACCAACTTTTACATTTTCTAATTCAGATCATCTTCAGGGAGTTTCTAGAGAGAAAAACCCAGTTGTGTTCATGAATGGGAAGTTTTCAGTTTGAACCCATAGCTGTTTTGTTTGAATCGTGGTCTGTCACTCTGAGTTCCTTTTTAAAAGTCAGTAGATGGAGAACATTATTTCCTAAGCTCTTTAAATGGTTTATTTCTGCCAGGCGGTGGTGGTGCAAGCCTTTAGTCCCAGCACTCGGGAGGCAGAAGCAGGCGGATCTCTGTGAGTTCGAAACCACCCTGGTCTACAAGAGCTAGTTCCAGAACAGCCTCCAAAGCCACAGAGAAACCCTGTCTCTCAAAAAACCAAAAATAAATAAATAAATGGTTTCTTTCCTTAATGGCTATAAAAGGCTATGCTGGTAATATTGGTATTTCATAGTTCACATTAGATACTTGATATTTTATCTTTGATTAAACAAAAAACTGACAGTTAAAAAATGTTTCTTAAGAAAAAGGACATGTATAACAATCTTCTCAGGACACGTTTTTCATTTTGTGAGTGTGTGTGTATGTGCACTCACTCCCTGAGAGTGGTACATATTGGGTAAAAATTGTATTTTTGTCTCTTTTCCACCCCATCTAGGTATTGTTAATATTTTTTTATTGCAATTTGCAAATGCTAGGACACTATACTTTACTCTTACATGCAGTTAGCATTTAACATGTTCATTTACTTTCAACTGTTAGACTGTGTATGTTTCGTTTTATAACTTGGAGTGACTATAACCCGTGAGGTAGAAGGCTTATAATCTTTCTAGTTCCTCCTGTTCCTAAGACTATTAAGGGTTTTTAATTACTACCTTTTGTAGAATATGGGCCCTGAAGTAAAAATAGCATCGCTCATAAAATTTTTAAAAGGAAAATTCCCAAAGATCTGCTCTTGGTGATGAAGATTGTTCTGCTGTAAGAAAGCTTAAGAGTAAAGATTTCCCCCACCTTTGTATCCACAGATGCCCTGTAAGGACTGCCTGAGACCTTGCAGATAGCCCCTACTTGTTTCTTCAGCCACACACTGAGAAATTTAGAACAACAAAATGCTGAGGAGTTGGTATTATCAGGATGTCCTTGAGTCTGAAGAACTGGCTGATCATAATACTTAAGAAGTGTATGACATATAATATATTAACCTTAGGGATTAACTTTTGTTTGAAGTTTTTAGTTTCCCTTGTTTCTGTTTATCTGTTTGTTTTTATTGAGGCAGAGTCTAGCTGGGACACCACTTCATAGAACAGACTGGCCTCAAACTTGCACTGACCCTGTCCGCCTCCACAGTGCTGGGTTTATGGTGTACCACCATATTCAGCCGTAGAATCAAGTTAAAATTTTCATCATATGAAGCATGTATTAGGAATAGAAAATCCGGAGTTAGTAGGCTATAACAGAGCCAGCAGTATGGTTGTCATGACACCCGGTTAGCAAGCAGTTAACCCCTTATTTGGACCTCAGGTTTCCAGTTGCTCTCCTCTCATCTGCTTCTGAGTGCTAGTTCCAATCTCAGTTCAGTTTTTAAACCAAAAAGGGAAGAACCACTATAATTCTAACCCCTGTATTCTAACAAAATAGACTTGTTCTCCATTCATGTATATTGTGTTTCTGCTAAGAAACCTAATAGGGAAGGGGGTATTTTATATTAGGAGTTTCTAAACATGAAGCCAGAGACTTCTGCATCATAATTTATCCTAATTTGAGAGGAAAAAATGGGACTACCTATTTAATTTCATTCTTATCTTTTAATATTTTGGTGTGTAACCTGGTTTAGTGTGTAAACCTGGCTCCCGGGATTTGCCTCAGCCTGCTGAATGCTGACTAAAGGCCTGTGCCTGCGTGTGGTTTTCTAGTATTTTCCTGTGTTAAGTGTTAGTGTACATATAACATGTAAGGAATGTTTAAATAGGTGAGATGTAACTGAAAAAGCATGGCAATTTATTTTCAGATACGATTTTAAATGTTGAAATATTTTAACAGGATTACATATTTGATAATAGGTGAAAAGTTAAGAAAATAAAATGTTTAATAAGAGTGATATAACCCAGTGATGGGGTCAGCAAATGACAGGCCAGGATGAGCTAAGAATGTCTTATGTTTTTAAAGGGACTTTTAAAAATTGGCCCCAGAAGCCATGTGTCCTTTAAACATAGTTTATCCCACTCTGTGTTAACTGAAGTTCTTACATTTGTGTATTGGAGATTTGGACTCAGTTTATATTTTTAGTAATTGCACTTTCTTTATGCCCCTATCATCCCCTTTTGGGGAACTTCATTACCTGCAGAGACCTTTTGTTATTGTCACATAGGTTCCTCTCAAGCTGATCATTGAACAATTGTCTGTTCTTGGATTGGTTAATATTATCTTCAGATTTCCTGACTTTATACTATGTTATATTCATACAGTTGATGAATTTATAACTTACATTTTTAATTTTCAGTAATTTCTCCTTAAAAATGGATCACATTCTCGGGCTGAATAGCTTTTGAATAACTTTTTGGGTATTTTAATGTGTGGCAGAGATTATTAATTCTGCCACTGATTTTCTAATAAGGCTCTTGTCAGGCTTGATTTAGGAGGTAGTTAGCCTTCCTTTGATTCAGACCTCAAATTCCCAGGAATAGCAGTTCAAATTTCCATTCCTTCCCTGAACCTTTGCCCTCCTGCTTAGGCCTTCCCCTGTGCCTGCTCGCTGATTTCAGCCTTTGAGGACTTAGGACTTTGCAGAAAATTAGTCCTTTTCCTTCCCCAACTCGCTACCCTCTGGGACAGCATCCTCATACTCTGTCCTTCCTGGGTTCCTTTCTGATTCTAGCCTGAAAGATAATGAGATTTTTTTTGGTGCAGTTTTGGGACCCTTCCTACACTGCTTCACAAGTGAGGCCTCTGTTAATGTGTGGCTCATGACAAGGAGACGGCTGAGCTTCATTCGAATAGCTGCTTTGCCTCTGTTCCATAATCAGATGCTTTGGAGAATTCTTGGGTCGTTTGTGGCATTTCATCCCTAATTTTGTGACAATGATAGTTGAAAGGCTTGAGAACTCGGGAGGCTTAAAAGGGAATACGAAGTCTGTAGAGTTACTTAAATATTGGTAAGTTGAATAAACTTAGAACAAATTATAGATTCTTCTTTTTTCGTCCTTGAAATCTGGGGGAGCATAGGGAGGTTGAAGGGACCGTCAACAAAAGCATGACTTTTATTACAGTGTGTGTGAAACTGTAATTTATCTGGTTTGAGTCATTAACTTCACCAACTCTTCTATTTGTATTTTAAAGCACTTAAAGACACTTCGTCACCCTTGCTTGCTAAGATTTTTATCTTGTACTGTGGAAGCAGATGGCATTCATCTCGTCACTGAGAGAGTGCAGCCCCTGGAAGTGGCGCTGGAAACCCTGTCTCCTGCAGAAGTCTGTGCTGGAATCTATGACGTATTGCTGGCTCTTATCTTCCTCCATGACAGAGTAAGTGGTTTGACAGTCTCCCTCACAGGATTGATGGGGACTGAAGTGACCCTCTGGGTCACTTAGAGACCGGTACAGAGAGAAATTGAGACGAAAGTGGAAGGAACAAGAGATCTTGCAGGTAGTTTGTGGAATTAGTTCTCTGTCCCTGAGCAGATATATAGACAATGTTCTTTTAGTTTACCATCTACCTCTTGTTTTAGGTAAGTCTTTATCTAAATATAGCTACAGTCAGTATCGGTTAAGAAAAAGGCCTGGCAGAAGTGTTGCTATAAAACAAAGCTCCTGTTTGTTTTCAGAAGTTCTGCTCCACTTTAGATCTCAAAGAAAGAAATAGCCGTTTCTTAGGAAGAAATGGTGTTTTATTTTGGGTGTGTGAATCCAAAGAGGCAGCCCCCTAACAAGGTGGTGTAGCTAGTAAGTTTGCCTCTGGTGGTGTCTGGGATCGTGATGTCCGTTCTGTGCTTATTTATGGTCTGTCTGTTGTCACTGTGCCTGAGCTGGTGTTATGTGGTGTTTGCATTCTGAAGCATTAGGTCTTTGGCAGTATGCAGAGATGGGAAAGCTGCATCCTAGGCTACATGCGCTTGGCACCAGGCTCATCTTGGGTTCTTAGAGCTGTTTCTGTCAGTGGGAGACAGGCCTTCCAAATATCATGTGCAGTTTATAATTTCTTAGAATTTTAAAATCTGTTGGGGTTCACATGGCAACAAGAATTACTAATACTTCATTGGGGAGGAATGTCTTTTTTGCTGAAGAAAATATATCTGTAATAGAAAAGCAACAGGATGAAAAGGCAAGTTAAACCTCTTTCCTATCCTCAGATCAAATCTTCTCCAGAGGCAACTGTGCATTATTCCAGAGACAACCTTGGTGTATATCAAGAAATACTCTGTTTATTCTTATTTCTCCCCAAGCATATCATACATACTGTTAAAAATCTTCCTGTACTATATATATTCTGTATAAAATACATACACATTGAATCATGTGAGTACAATATTTAGTATACTTTTTGTGTACTGGAATGAATAATTCCTGGTTTGAAAAAGAAATTTAACTACTCAAACCCTGTTCTCATTTTTTTCCTTCCCCGAATTTGAGGGTTTTTTTTGTTTTTTGTTTTGTTTTTTGTTATTTTGTTTTTTTTTTTTTTTTTTTTTTTGTTTTTTTTTTTGTTTTTTGTTTTTTTGTTTTTTTTTTTTTTTTTAGTTTTGAACTTGATTCTTCTATGGTGGGTGGGAATTTTTCTGATGATCCTTGTCATTCCATTTCCTCCTCTGGCAGGATTTTGTTAATGTCTACTGACTGCCAGGCTTTCAGCTGATGTGGTCTGGGTTCATGACAGACTATAGGCAAGAAAGACTCTAGGGGAGAAGGTGACATAACCTGTGGGAGCTGTGATACTTTTGTTTAAGGCCCTGGAAGCAAGTGACCCAGGCTGTGGAGGCTGTGTATGTGTAAGGATGTGTGAGAGTGATGCTGTCTGTGCATTGGCTTTGGTGTCTTCCTGACCTTCCTACCAGGCAGAGGAGCTAGCTGGAGCCTTTCCCTTTGTAGCTACATCTGCTTTGTTCATTTAAGCACAGCCCCATATGTTATGTGGCAGATGCCAAACACTGCATCGATCTCTGTGTGGTGACTAGTATGGGATTGTTTAAAACCTTCAGGTTTTGGGGTGTCAGTCTTCTTCCTGTTCTGTTTGTCTCTTTCCCAGGGACACCTGACACACAACAATGTCTGCCTGTCTTCTGTTTTTGTGAGTGAAGATGGGCATTGGAAGCTTGGAGGCATGGAAACAGTGTGCAAAGTTCCTCAGGCCACACCAGAGGTGAGCCAAGTGGCAGCCCTCTTCCTCACGGAGGACATGATGGTGACTTGAGGTGGGGTTCTTGCCTGGTCCCTCTCCTTCACTGTTAGGATTTTAGATTCGAAGACTTAACTCTGTTAATGCTCATGTTCAGAAAATTGTAATGTTTATTCCTCAGTAAGTTCTGAGGTTCATGTAGTCCCTTCTCACTTAGTAGGGCCTGAAACCAAGAGGTAAACCAACAGTTGATTCAACACTGAAGCCAGTTGCCACCTCTCTGTTCCCTATAAGTACTTTGTGCTCCATTATATTCATGTTTAATGCTGAGGTCAGTTATATGTCTCTCCTATCCCAGCAGCTGAGTGTCATATTTTTTATATCTCTTCCTGGAACAGTACCTGTCTGTTACGAGGCCAGAAGTCTAAGTTGCCCAGTGTCAGCACACTATATTGGGTGCAATTGTGGCCAGAGTTATTGCTTCTGTGGTACTTCCTATCCATTTCCTCCTAGTAGACAAACTGCTCTATTCTCTATTTTGTTTCTCTTCACCATTTGCCTGCTGTTCCTGCCTCACTATTTCTAAAAGAAATAAAAAACCACTGCCTTCATAATGTCTTTGTGGAAGTATTGACTGTCTTTTTTAAAGGGTGTGTCTGTCTGTCTGTCTGTGTCTGTGTCTGTCTTCTAAACATGTGTGCAGGGGCCCAGGGAGGCCAGAAGAGGATGTCAGATTCCCTGGAGTGATAGGCAGTTGTGAGTCACCTCACATGGGTGCTGGGAAGTGACCTGTGGTGTCTGAAGATCAAGAACCACTCTTAACTGCACTCTCTTTGATGTGTTGGTTCAGTCTGTCTCCTCAGGTTGTTTCTACATTTAGGTGTTGTGTAATGGACACTTCCATGAGTGGTACTCTGTTCCGATGCTGCCAGTTCTGTAAATACTCTCTCATTACTTCTGTCTCTGTTTAAATTCTTTGCCATGGCACACAGTTCCTCACAATACCTGCCCATCCTTCCTCAACTCTGTTCAGCCCCACACAGAGCAGCCCTGTTTCCTCTGATGTGTTTCTGCCGCTGGACCGCCGCCTTCCTCCCATTGGCCTCCTAGAAAACGGAAGTTCATGTTAGATGGAGCCTAAGTCACTCCTGTGACTGCATGGCATGAGGCAAATCTGTGAGACTTGTGAGCTCCTCTCCAGGTTGTAAGCACTGCTTGGGGACAGGAGAGCTATCGCATTCATTTCACAGTCCTTGTGCCCTAAATGGTGTTTTGAACATGTAAGCTTTTCAGAAATAATCTTGGAATAGGTGACTACATATGCCTATTCAGTGGGTGTTGTTTTTATCTGTACAGCCCATAGAAGCCTCAACTTTAATGTCTTGTGACAGCAAAACTTGATTCCCATGATGTAGTGATATGTGGTAAATTTTTGTTATGTGCTAACCAGTAGCTTGCTTGCTCTTTAAAAAAAAAAGAAAGAACAAAAGGATCTGACTGTGTCTTTTTGTTGTTGTTGTTGTTTATTAATTTATTTTTTACATTCCAATCCCAGTTCCCCCTCCCTCTTCTCCTCCCACTCACTATGTCTTCCAGGCTGGTCTTGAACTTACAGGCTCAAGTAACCTTCCTGCTTCAGCTTCCTTACTAGTGGGCACTACAGGCATGTGCCACATCTGACCAAAAAACCCTTTCAGTCTTTTTATCTGTGGGAAAATAGGTATTCCAGGAGCCTCTGACAGCAAAGCTGTCACTCAAACCACCCAATGGGAGAAGATCAGCTGGCATTCCTGTCTCCTAAGCCTGGCGATGTGCTGGGAACTATTTCATGTTGAATTAAGAAGCTTTTAAGTTTGTGCATTGGATGTGTGGTTAAAAGGGTTCATGGCTCCTGCTTTCTCTACTTAGTTCTTTTTTAGGTTGAACTAAGATTAATTTACCAAATACGTTGTGAGCTACTTTTTTTTTCTTTGTCTAGTTTCTCAGAAGCATCCAGTCAGTAAGAGACCCAGCGTCTATTCCTCCTGAGGAGACGGTGAGTAAAGACCCTTCATGCAACTGTAACTCAGACTCTTGTGTGTGACAGTGTGGACAAAAGGTCCCCTGCCTTCCCTTCTGCCCATTCTTTACTAAGTTTTGGACTCCTCATGGTGCCTCTGACCTTGAAAATGCCTGAGATTAAAATTAATCAAGTTAGGGAGCAGCCTATGGTTTTTGTGTGTATAAAGACAGAGCTGCCCAGTGTGGCAAGAATCATTTTATTTCATGATAAGTCATTGTACTTTGCTGGAGGCTACCATTATGGGAGAGGCAGTGACCTCATCCTTTCCTTGGCGTCGTCTTCCTAGCTAGTCACGAGCTGGAACTCCAGGGCATTAGAAGAGTGATTGTTGATATCATGGTAAGGAAAGGGCCAGTTACTAGGGAATCTAGAAGGTGTGCCCCTTGCACAATTTTTACAAGACCTAAATTAAGCACTAACCTCCAGAGACAATGTCGATTTATTATTGCAAGCCTGATTGTAAGCTTAAGAGACCTAAGATTTGCAATCTCAGGGTTAGCCAGATCTGTTTTATATGCAGAGACTAGGGAGGTTTTAAAACTGATGATTTACAGATTTTAAGTCAGTTGATCAGCATTTTGAAAAAGTTGAAATATCACTGGGCATGCCAGATTGTAAGAAAAAACATTATTTTTTTAAACTTTGGTTTTCATTGTGTGTATGTAACTATTAGATTATGCATAGTTTGTTTTACCCTGGGTTACAGATACATTTCAGAAAGCCATATATGAACATTATCTTTTTGATCATAAATGATATTTTTAAATCTTTGATAAGTTCCATCAGCTAATATTTCAAAGTTTTTCCATATTTGGGAGAGACCTACTATTTCATAATAGTTCAGAGTTTTCCCATTTTTGAGAGAGACCTACCATTTTAATTGACATAGAATTGCACCAATTTGTCATGTACTGTGTACTAACAATTCTTAAAGCCTGTAGTATATGATACCATGAAGTTAGATTTGAGTCTATAAATGCAAACATGGGAGGACATTGGAGACAGCTTATAAACTAGGTCCTCTTGTTCTAATAGTTTCACTGCATTTAGTCTCCAGAATTTGCAGCCCTTCCAGAGTCCCATGGACATGCCCGAGATGCCTATTCCTTCGGAACTTTGGTGGACAGCTTGCTCCCCATCTTGAAGGAGCAGGGTGAGTTGGAGCTGTACTGCCGCATGCGCAGACTAAGTAGGAAAGGCATCCTCACCCGCTTTGTGTGGAAGTCCAAGGGATGCAGTCTTCAGTATAGTGGGGAACCTGCTGCTCACCACAGTTTACTTAGGACAAAGAGCAGCAGCAGGAAGTGGAGAAACTTGGGGTTCCATGAGTATGAATAATAAAAAAGAATTTGATGTAAGAAGCACTTTGAACAGTGGCTGCCCCCATCATATGTGATTGTCTTCTGAGTTCATTATTGAGTTGTCTTGTGGCAAACAAATGCCCTTAGTAACTGAGATGTAATAGCCTGAATATAGAGTAAGACTCCAGTGTTTCCTTAAACTTTATTCTTTCAAAGTCATTCAGTTTTTCTACTATAATTTACTTAGTATTTTTTCTTGCATGCCCTCTTAAAGCCCACTACTTAAAGATAGCGCTCTGCTCCCTTCTGTGTTCTCTAATTGGCATCCTGTGTCCCTCTCCTGGGATGGACTCTGGGACATTAATTCTGCACCTGTGAAGGTTACTGAGGTGTGTGCACATTAGGTCCTTTGGTGGCCTGTCTGCTCTGATGATACTTCTGCAGTGCCAGTATAGCTTGCACCAGGACTTGCAGTTCTGGTACTAGAAGTACCTTTTGGCTATCAACTTGATTCATCCATCATAAGGCTCTAAGGTGTCGTTTTTCGGTTTTTTGTTTTGTTTTGTTTTGTTTTAACTAACTGCTCTCCCATGCACCTATAATGGTGGCAAATATGTAGAAGAATTAAAACTATAGGCATTCAGTCAGTCAGCTCTGTTGACAAGGACCTACCCAAGAAAGACCTGCAAAGCTGCCACCTTTTGAACCATCAGTTTGGATCAGAGGTGGGTTAACAATCAGGACATGGGGGCTGGAGAAGGGAGGCACCTATGGCAGTGTGGGCTGTGCTGGCAAGACCGCACTGTAAACCTGCCCAGGGGTCTGGTCTGCACGACAGAAGTCATGTAGCAACAGCCGGGGCTTTGTGTGCTTGGGCTTTTACAGGTTGGTTTTTGCTCTCATCAATCTCCAGCTAGAGAGGCCCGAAAAGAGGGAGAAGGCCCTGGAACTAACTGTAGCTCTGGATTTCAGTTTCAGCGGATGTTCTCTCCAGCTTCCTACAGACCTTGCACACAGCTCTGCTGAATCCCACGCCTACGTGTCGGCCAGCGCTCAGCACCTTACTGTCCCATGACTTCTTCAGGTGAGGGCATCTTGTGTGGTGCAGGAGAGAGACTGGCTGCCTCAAAACTTCCTATCACAGAAAGCTGTAGAAATCCTTAGCTGTCATGAAGGAATTATATCCAGATTCATTAGGGATTTTAATTATAAAGAAACTAATCTGTGTGAAGTAGTTTACAATTGTGTGTCAATTGAGAAAGTAGATGGACATGGCCTCCCCTGTCTGCTGTCCCACTGCGTTACTGGTGTGTGCCTCAATAGGCTGCTTCCCTGGTGTATGTTGGAAGGGGCAAGTTTGTGTTTCTCTGGCAGCAGACTGTTTCTTGTGTCCCAGAATGTATAGCCCTCGGTTAGTGTAATGCTCTCCTGGGTTCACAGATGGTATTGGGCCTTCAAGGTTAACTTTAATGATATGTTCTTCATTTCTGTAACCGCAGACCTTGTGTCCAGGTTAGTTCCATGTTTGAGAGTTTTATTAACAAGGCTAACCTGATGTTTTTTTAAACAAAATATCTTTTTGTGTTTGTACTTAGAGAGCTGGAAAGGAAGTAGAGCAAAGAACGGTTCTGCTGCCCCTGAGACTAGCCCCACCTCCAGACAGGCACACGTTGGGGTTGTTAGTAAATTAGTGCCTATAGTCACCAGGAGGAGAGTCGCCATTGGTGTTTCTAACTTTTTCCAGTGTCATACTTTTTTCCAGCAGGTCATACCCTCCACTTATTTCTTAATTTGGCAAATGCAATTGTATATATTTATATTTACAAGTCTTTCAACAATTATTATCATATTATATGCATTTTCTTGTGCTTGTAGGTGATTCTTAGAAATACTCTAGTTCTCATTGTAGTAAATTGTTACCACTACGTGTAATACAAGTTCTTTAAGAAATGTGTGTTAGTATAGAGGGGAAAAAAAAAAATCAAAGACTACTCCAACCCACACTTCATACTTCCAATTGTGGCATGAGGAGTAAATGTGCCAGAGGCAGCAGGATGAAGCAGGCCGGCATCCCTCACTGAGGCAACCGAGGTAGCCAAGCCAGTTTCCTTCGGAGTAAAGACATTTGTGCATATATATATGCTCTGCTGCAGGGGAGGAGGAGACACTGCTGCCTCTCGAATGACATGGGTTTGGAATGCACAGGTACACTATGATTTGCCATGAATCTTTAAGCTTTAAAAAATTTAAACCCTGAGACAAATCTTAGAAAACCAAAGGAAGAAACATATGTGATGAACACACAAAATAAATGTAGATAGCCTATTTATCCTTTGAGTCTATTAAGTATAAACAGGTTGTCTCTTCTAAAGTTAGTTTATGAACACCTACGTTAGTTTATGAACACCTACGTTTATAGAACATGTATGTTACCATTTGCAGTGAGACATGTAAACAAACGTAAAGATCTAGTAGTATTAAACCATAACTGCAGAAAGTTCGTTGGAGCACGTATTGCTGGTATGTTACAGCGCTGCAGGTATCTCCCTGAAACAGCATGTGATGTGGAGCATCTCCAGAAAAGCAGAAAAATGGCTTATGCAATACAAAGGGCTTTTCTGAGTTTCTTACGCATTTCCGTGTGGTAATAGATGGTTTTCATTGAAACTACTGGTTAACACTGGGCCCATGGAAATTAAGTTTTGCAGATAAAAGTCATGTGGATTTTGATGCAGAAGTCATTGTCCTAATGATGAGTTGTCTAAGGGTCAGTCACGTGGAGGTATTAACATGGGAATGGAGGCATTACCTGTGCATGCCATGTAGGCTGCCAAGCTTGTGTGCTTAACTGCCGTACAGTAGCCTCCATGTGGTAGGACGTGAGCCATGTTCTCTTGGAACAGAACAGTTTACAGGTTTGGGACTGTCTGTGAACTCCTCAGAAACTGACCTTGACTGAGTGCAAAAGTCAGAAAACTGAGAAAATACCTGTGACTCCTACAGAAATTCTATTTCCCAAGTGTTTTCACTTCACCAAAGGAAAAACTTGGGAATCAGCAGCTCCTTTGAAATGGTTTTGCCATTTCTCCCAGGATAATCCATTTGCTAATATCCTGTTAAAAGTAAAAAATTTGGAAAAGTATGGTCACTACTGAAGCCTAAAGTACGCTACCATGTATGTTTCCATTTATATCCTCTGGCAGATATTTCTGGAATTATTAAAACATGAAGATCTTCTAGGTTGGCCCATTGTATTCATCTCATCAGCTACTTTGAATCTTTCATGACATAGAAAACATTTCTTCACTGAAAATGGTGGTATGGTCTGTGATAATGGCTTCAATTCTTAACATGCCTTTAATCTATTGTCCTGCTATTTTATTTTGTTGTATTGCATTTAGAAATGATTTTTTAGAAGTTGTGAATTTCTTGAGAAGCTTGACATTAAAGAGCGAAGATGAGAAAACTGAATTTTTCAAGTAAGTTCAGAAGAAAACTTAAATCCACTGACTTGAATTAAACCTATGTAAGCATGTTAGTGATCTAGGGATGAGTCAACCTTCTGACTTTACAGTGGTTATTGAACTTTCCTACATGTCATATTTTCCACTGTGTTATGGATAGACTGTACACCTGGTAATGCAAGCATAGCTGGCAACTTAAATGTAAAGATGGGTGCAAGTCTTCCTTTGCTGGTAGGGAGGTGGTTATAGAAAAGCTTTTCTAGACAGACAAACAGGAGCGAATACACAAAGGAAAGACCCACTGTAATTTGTAGCAAAGGGCAGCCCCTTGATTCCTGATGGAGGGCAGATTTCAAAGCAAGGACAGGTAAGAGGTGGTCCTTGTGTGGCAAGGCAGAGTATTGACGTTATTTGTTAGGTAGTGGACTTCTTGCCTTGAAGGGAATGAAGGTAACCATGAGATAGCTAGATCTCTCTTTACTGATCATTCTGTTGGTGGAGGCAGACTTGGATCACACAAGGATTGGATCGGTTAGTATGTAAGAGCATTGATGGGCCAGTGAAGGAAACACTGAGATAAGAAAGATAAAAGATAAAGTTGGGAGGCCTGTAGGCTGAGGGAAAAATACCAGTGTGGGAGTGGAGGAGGATTAGAGCGGTAGCCAAGGAAGGCCATATATTTACACTAAGCATGTAACAAGCAAAAGGAAAGAACAGCTAGTAGCAGTAAGAAGCAGCAGATGGATAGCAAAACAGCATCAAGCCAGGTGACTAGCACATGTAGCAGAGAACGGGGGTCACATGACTAGATTGGAAGCTAATAGCATCTTGTCCTGTCTGTCCTCAGATTTCTGCTGGACAGAGTGAGCGGCTTATCAGAAGAGTTAATAGCTTCAAGACTGGTGCCTCTTCTGCTTAACCAGTTGGTGTTTGCTGAGCCAGTGGCTGTTAAGAGTTTTCTTCCCTATCTCCTTGGCCCTAAAAAAGGTGACTTTTTTCTAGTGTTATTAGTTATTAAGGAGTTAGGCAATTATTAGTCCATTTTTGAGTGGGGTAATATTGCAGTATTCTAAAGTTGATGTTTGGTTCTAAAGGCACAGAACTCCAACTCAGGTACCAAAGCCCAGGGGTAAATACAGGGAAAAAATATATATATATGTATATATTTAGAATATATATATATACACATTTAGAATAGGAATGTCTACTTATATTCTGTGTGTGTGTGTGTTTAGAAACAGGATTTCTCTGTGTAGCTTTGTAGCCTGTCCTGGCACTTACTTTGTAGACCAGAAAGATATATATATATCTTTCTGGAGAGTCTGTACACTTTTTCATAACTTTTTTTCAATGTTTCATTTTCTGACGTTTATAAAAGGTGTTCTAGAGCCAGGCAGTGGTGGCGCATGCCTTTAATCCCAGCACCCCAGAGGCAGAGGGAGGTGGATTACTGTGAGTTTGATGCCAGCCTGGTCTACAGAGCGAGTGCCAGGACAGGCTCCAAAGCTACACAGAGAAACCCTGTCTTGAAAAACAAACAAAAGGTGTTCTAGAAACCACTTATCCACTAGATGAAGAGATATGTAATCATTCCCACTTGTTTCATGACTTGTGGGAGTTTTAGATGAGGAGCCAAAATGATATAGAATAATCATTTGCAGAATGGGTTGACTATTTTACACACCTTTAGTTCTATCTTTTTTGTGTATGAACCCAGCTTTCTGGGACAGTGGAAACCTTACTGTGAAAAATCCATAATTTTTCAGTGTAAGTGGTTGCACAGGCAGAGAGGCGCCGATATGAACTTTTAATGGGTTAAGGCATGTGTTCTCAGGTCATCTTTTCAGTGAATCGTTAGGCCTGTGCTTCCACAGTTACTGAAAGCAACCCCTGTTGTTTGTAGTAAAATTGTTGAAAACCGCCAACCAAGATCACTTTATTTCTTGGAACTGTTTCAAAATGATTGCTTTGAAACTTTATAAGATTTATAAGACTTTCGATGGTAACATACCAGGTTAGAAAACATATTTTTTAATATACTGAAGAATTTAGAGTTAGGTTGGATCCTGCTTTAAGAATCATCTTCTTAAAATAATTTTAATTTAGTTTTGTGGTTTTTTTTTTGAGTGTTTTGCTTACATGTATGCATGTACCTTACATGCATGCCTGGTCCCCATGGAAGACACTAGAGGACACTGGATCCCCTGAAACTGGAGTTAGGAATGGTTGTAAACCAGTATGAATGCTGGGATCTGAACCTCAGTCCTCTGCAATCAACCTGGTCATTGTTCTTAACCAATGAACCTTCTCCCTTGTCCCCCAGAGGTCATTTTCTTAAATAGTGTCATGCATTTATCTCTGGGTTGAATATACTTAACTGCAGTCTTGATTTTTCCCTTGGGGCTCTCCATCCTCACTGTGAATTTGAGGGAGAGCAGGAGTCAGCCGTGTGTTATTCAAAGATGAGTCTTTGCCTGGCCCACTAGCCAGGAACAAACAGGATGCAGAGAGCACTTGACACAGTAAAGCCTTTAAGTAATTTTTGAATCCACATAAGAGATTCCTTTAGTTGGGGCTTAAGATTTTAGACAAATACATAAAATGTGTGTAAAATTCTGGACTCATTTGACGAATTGTGTTTTTTACCCTTTTCACTGAATGACTGTTGTCTGTACCCTCTGATTTGGGGTAGAGAATGCACCAGGGGAGACTCCTTGCTTGCTTTCGCCAGCACTGTTCCAGTCACGGGTGATTCCTGTGCTTCTCCAATTGTTCGAGGTCCATGAGGAGCATGTACGGATGGTGTTACTATCCCACATCGATGCCTATGTGAAGCACTTTACTCAGGACCAACTGAAGAAAGTCATCTTGCCACAGGTCAGGACCAAGCTGGCAGTGGGACAATGAGAGAGAGCGCAGGCCAAGTGCTGCCACTTTAGGGAGTGAAAGGAAGGAAGAGGTTCTCAGATAGTAGCTCACAAAGCCTTGAGACTGCAGTTGAGTTTAAAAGTTACTAAAATATAAAGAGGTGAAATTGTATTTTCAGTCCATCTTCTTGGCAAATCCATTAACATAAGATGTTCAGTCTTAATCTGTGAGAAACTATGATTCCGTTTTTTTTTAATCTTGGAGGTAAATAAGACAAAAACCAAGCCTAAGGAGACCATGGCCCTTCACTAGCATTTGTGGGACGATAATTACATTATGGTAATTGCCACAGAGAGAACATGAGATCGTTACCAATGATTTTCAACCTGTTTATCCACCATAGGGAAGGTTAGAACTTGCTCACCCAAGGCTTGTAATCATTATCTATGCCATAAATCAGAGCTGGGTGTGGTGGCACATGTCTTTAATCCCACCACACAAGAGGCAGAGACATGTAGATCTGAGTTTGAGGCTAACCTGGTCTAAGTTTCAGGACAGCTAGGTCTGTTACACAGAGAAACCCGGTCTCAAAAAACCCAAAAGTTTAAAAACTTAAAAAATTAACAGTTAAATGACTCAAAGTAACAAAAATTTATCTGAAGTTCTGGAGAAATGTAGTATGAGATCAAGGTTGCAGCTGCTTCTGGGTGCCTGCATATTAGAAGCTTTGATGCTCCCAGAAACAGGTTTTAGTGTATGTATCTTGTTCGGCAGCTGTATCAGGCAGTCCACACCCATTTTCATGGAGCCATTGCTCTGGGGCTAGCTCATAATGTGGCATGGCTATTTGGGGGTGAGGAGGGGTGGGGTGGTTGGCAATTCATGACAGATTGGTAGGACAAAATATTGTTTGTTTTCGGTAGAGAACCACTGACTTAGAAATATTTAGGAAAATATCATTCATGTGAAGAAGCATTATGGCTGCAGGCCAATTCCTTTCCAGGAGAGAAAGACAGTAGTTGTCTACACCCATCACCAATTTTGCTCCTAGGTATTACTGGGCCTTCGTGATACCAGCAATTCCATTGTGGCAATTACTCTTCGTAGCCTGGCGGTGCTGGTATCTCTACTCGGACCAGAAGTGGTTGTGGGAGGAGAAAGAACCAAGATCTTTAAGCGAACTGCTCCAAGTTTTACGAAAACTAGTGATCTTTCCCCTGAAGGTAAGGGTAAACATTACAGGTTTATGTTGAGGGAAACGATCAAGAAGCATGAGGAAAGTTCAGTTTCCCTTTTCCAATTTCTCATAGTGGGTACAAAGTGACATTCAATGGGTTAATGAGAATCCTTTTTTCCCCCTTTGGTAAGCCCACAAAGGGATAGTTTTTTTTTTTTTTTTTTTTTTTACACACTCCACATATGTGGTTCTTAATAAGATTATATTTAATGATGCTGTGCACAAATCTACAGCTTAGTTTCATGTATTATATATTAAAGATGTTTCCAGGCCAATACATAAAAACTTACCTCATTTTTATACCTAATATTTCACTGAATCCAGTTCAATGACTTATAGCCATAGCTGTTGAGCCACTGCTCGATTTTTAACCAGTAACTGTAGTACCATAACCCTTACACATGGATCTGTATTGTGTGGGGTTCAGAAGTATTAGCCTTTGTAGGTCAGAGAATGTATTGGAATTTTAGTAGGGACTTTTCTTTTGACTTTGTTAGACTATTGGGTAAAAGCTATTTTTGAGTACTTCAGGAAGTCTTTGGTTTGTTCCCACTGTACTCTTAAGTGGGAGGTAGCACAGGAATTTTGTAAGAACAATGTCATTTCCTTTTTGCTACTTTGTATGACCTTGAATATGAATATGACCATGATTTCATTACAAATTCTGGTCTCTAATGCAGTTCTTTGGCTTGTAGTGCTAGGCCCTGAGGGTGAAGAAGAGAGAGTTGCTAGAGAGCTGAAACCTTATAATGACAGTTGACTCCCCTTACCCTAGCTTTAAGGTAGGGGAAATACTCAGCTGTAATTTTACTAAATCTTTCTGATCAATATCCAATCTTGAATATAAGCTTTCTGGTAAACTGTTAAAGACAGCTACTTTCCTCACTCAAAGTCAAATATCGGTAGCATACATTATTTTAATTGTTTTCAGTATATAGTTTTGTGGTACTAAGTCACTAATATTAATTGGCTTGTAATCTTACTAGCCGTTTATTCTTAAAAGGAAGTTAGGATCAAGGTCTTAGATTGCTACCAAAATGATTTTTAAGAACTGTAATCTACTTCCCTAAAGATTTTATCTATGTACTGCTTCGAGTAGTTTGATCACATCACACCATGCTCAGTGGACACAACCTGCCTTAAACCTTCAGAGACAGGCAACCCATTTAATAATGGTTTGGGGTCAAATACTTGATGTTCTTTATCTGTGCTACGCACACCCAATCTCCCTGGACTGTTGTTCACCAATCAAGTGCTAGATCAGTAAGCACATCCTCTTCCACTTTCAGGTTCTCCCATGCATATTGTGTGCAACCAGCAGACTCAGATCTCAAAAGGCTTGGACAACCCCTCTTCTAATGCATTCCCTAAATGGCTGTTTTCTGGCAGCATGCCCATCAACAGCAAGAAGCACATACAGGAAGAGTATTACAATACTCTTTTACAGACAGGTAAGCATTCGAGTTTCCCATTTCTTCGATCTATTTCTGAAAACATTAAGCTTAAATTTTGAAAATCAAGTGCACTTGGAATTCCTCTATCCTTTTTACCTCTCCAAACTGTTGCTTATAATACCTAACCTTTCCACACAAGTAAACATTACTTGAATTCATTTTTATATCAGATACTTTTGTGTTTTTATGTCTTCTGCATCATAATATACCAAAAACGAAGAGTTCTAAAGATGTTAATGAAGTGAAAAGTGTTCTGTGTGGCAGCAGAGTAAACCTAGATTTCTTAGCACCTTGATAACATTTAATAAAGTCTGTTTCAAACTTACTTGGGGACTGGAAAGATGGCTCAGCAGTTCAAAGAACAAATTACTCTTGCAGGAGACACAAGTTTGGTCCCCAGCACAGGTCTCTAACTCCAGCTCCAGAACATCCGATGCTTCTGGCCTCTGTTGGCACTGTACTCAGCTGTGTATACCCCCCAACACACACACAAACATGTAATTAAAAATGAATCTTTGAAAAATAAAATGGGCTGGGGAGATGTCTCAGGAAGTAAAAGCACCTTTGGTAAAAGGCTAATACCCCAAGTTCAGTTTTTGGAACCTAAAGTAGAACCAACTGCATAGCTGTCCTTTGCTACCACACCTGCACTTTGGCATTCATACACCCAGAATGTGGGAGAGACCTCACAGCAAATAACTTAAAAAAAAAAAAAAAAAAAAAAAACTTACCCAGGGCGGTGGTGGCGCATGCCTTTAGTCCCAGCACTCGGGAGGCAAAGGCAGGCAGATCTCTGAGTTCAAGACCACCCTGGTCTACAAGAGCTAGTTCCACAACAGCCTCCAAAGCCACAGAGAAACCCTGTCTCGGAAAAAAACCAAACCAACAACAAAACAAAACCTTACTTGAGTACGGATTTTTAGATGAACTGCTACCTCAAGGGTAAGTAAGACTGCATCTGTATTTATTTAGAGAGACTTATGCTAATGAGTGTTTACATATCTAGTCGAAGATCTAAAAATCAGTTGTGACATAGTATGCTTCCTTTGAGTGTATTTGGAGAACTTATATGGCATCTTTGTCTAACTTTTGCTAGTGTGCATGGATATTTCTAATTAATTATAGACCTACACTTATCTGCTTGCTCTTAACATTTTATGAGACTAATTCTTGAATATACCCATAGGTGATCAGTTTTCTCACTCTGTGAAATTCCCTATGAATGGAATCTCAGATGTGAAAAACACCTCAGAAGACAAAGGGAACTTCCCAGCAAGTTCTAGTAAGCCTGAAGAGTGGCCTGACTGGAGTGAGCCTGAGGAGCCTGAGCACCAAACTGCCAATCTTCAGATAAGGCCCCAAGCACCCTGTGATGGAGCTGAGTCCCAGCACACCAACCTGAATGCAGAGGAGGAGTCCTGGGATGACTGTGAGTCCGGTGTTGGTACCGAAGTGAACTCTGTGGCTGGAGCCTCTGCTGCCACGCCTGTTACCTCAGAGGAGCAGAAGCACACTGCAGCTTTGCTTCCTCTCACTCAGGAGTCTAAGCCTTTGAAACCCAGTCCTTCCTCAAAGACCAATCATATGCAGCGTGGGGAAGTCAAACCACCAGAAGTGTCCCAGGAAAGACCCCTTAAGGTTCGGTCAGAACTTGGTTTAGGAGAAGAGTTCACCATACAAGTAAAAAAGAAGCCAGTACAAGATCCTGAGTTAGACTGGTTTGCAGATATGGTCCCAGAAATTAAGCCTTCAGGTACTTTCCTTATTTTGCCTGAACTAAGGACAGAAGTGATGGTCCCTAACAAAGATAACATCTCACCAGTGATGCAGTTTTCCTCAAAATTTGCTGCACCAGAAATGACTGAGGTGAGTTCATTCTTTGTACTAAATGTTCTAGTTATTGTTAACTAGTATCTCCAAGGGAAACCCTAAACAAGTAGTTTTCTCAATGAAGGTATTGTACACAGCTGGTTAAAATGATCAAATTAAGCCTCGAAACAACAAAACCAGTTACTAGAAGTGATTTCTTGATGTGGCACAGCATTGTCATCTATAAAGTTCACAGTTCAAAACTGTACAAAAAAAAAAATCAAATTACCAAACTAAAATCTTGGGGTTGGAGAGATGGCTCTGGTTAATAGTACTGGTTGTTGTAGAGGACCCAGGTTTGATTCCCAGCACCTTCAAAATGCCTCACAACTGTCTGTAACTCCAGTTACAGGAGATTCCATGGCTCTGACCGATACAGGCAACAGGCACACGTGGTGCGTAGCAATGCATGCATACAAAACACCATGCACAGCAGATTCATAAAGCTTTAAAAGAAACCTCATTTAAAATCTTTTGTATTCTGTTAACCTTGGCGATGCCTGGGTCCACCTGCTGCATGAGTAACTCATTGACTTGGGAAACAGAATCTGACCGATTTTACTGGACTGTTACTTTCCAACGGGTGTGGTGTGTAACATTACAACCAATGCAATCTCACTTTAATTTCTTATTATCTTTACTTACTGTGAGGCAGTCAGTCTCTTTTGATATTACAAAAAGTGGGTCATTTTAAAATGCCTGGTGTATATAACTTGCCTCAAGTAGTTGGTGTGTTCTGTTGCAGGGAGAGGCAGAAGGCTGGGAAGAAGAGCTAACCTGGGAAGATAACAACTGGTGATAAGAAAGAGCTTAAACTTCAGGAATAATTCTAAAGGAAGTAATACCTCAAAGCAAGCTGCATGGATGTAAAACCACAAAGCAGCCTGTGTTCCCCGTACCAGAAGCTCTTTTTGCAGTCTGTGCCAACTCAAAAATGAGACCAATCTCAAGTTGCTGACTAAGCCCTGGGTGGCAGAAGGCTCTCGGTGCCGGATTCTAGGAGGAAGAGCCTGTGTGCACTTGACCAAGGCCAGTTTCCCATGCAAAGTAAGTAGCTAAAGAAGTGCTTTTTTCCAGGACAATTCTGGAAGTAAAGAAAATAAAAATTCAAGCTGGTAAGCTTAAACTTGTGCCATTTCTTTAAAAGAGTAAGCTCTATTATGAAATGACTTACTGAAAAAAAAAATCTAGCTGTAAATTATAACTTCAAACTGCTAAAGTTCCTTAAGCAGCTTATTTGTTTACAGTTTATCATCTGAGTAAAGAAAGGTTCCTCCTTTGGACCTGCAGTTACTGTTTCACCTGTATTACACTGTACCAAAGTTCTCAATGAGAAATGCCCCATCTTATTCTATGTCAAATATTTTCACATTTATAAAACCTTTATATGTGCAATGAAAACATAAATTTAATTTACAAAACATCCAGGCAAGGCACTTGAAGAATCAATTAAACCTAGTTCTGGCCGATCGGTAGAATCCATTCATGTGTTACCCTCAGGTATACAGCATTTTAGCTTCTCAACCCTTTCTTGCAGTGCATCCAGTTCCGTTAGCAGCCAGGGTGGAGCAGGGGCCTGTTGGAGCAACAACTCAGTTGTTTCTAAAGCCTCTGCTGCTGCTTGAAATGCTGCCCTATACTCTTCTTCGAAGGGGAGCTCACGACGGGCTCTTTTTGTACAAGGCTGGAAATAAAGAAATCATGAAACAAGTAATGCCCTATACTCAGTCTAAAAATAAGAGAAACTGCAGTCAAGGGATCACAAAAGGTACCCTCCCCATCTATAATAAAACCTTATCCTAATTGGACCCTCTTATGCTAGGATCCCCAGGGACAAATGTTGTCTTGCCCAATAACTGACTATTCTTTAAGAACACCATTAAGAGAAAAGAAATGTGATTTTCATAATAATAAGTTTGTAAATAATGAGAACTACAGTTTCCAACATGCTTTTGGGGCCAGTTGAGGAAAACTAAGGCTCAAGACATCTTGTACAAGGAAAGGGGAAAAGGGAGTGAGACCCAGACATATCTAATAATCGGTTTTCCAAAAGGGTGTCACAATTTAAATTCATAGGGCTTATGAACATAACTGAACTTTATATATTTCAGGCTTACAGCTACATCTTTAAAAAAATTACTATTGCACTATATAAACCTAGAACATTGTTTTGTTATAGCCTGAAATTCCAAATTATACTTATGTTAAAAACACAACATTGAATGTATGTAGTGGTGTCAAATTTCTGCCAATTAAAAGGTACATGTGATTCTTAGAAACTGATTATGAAGCTGGCTTGAGGACACAAGAGATGAACATGCTGACATCTGTCAGAAAATGCATTTATGTCATCATTGGTACAATATGTAACTTCCAGAAATAAAGAGTATATTTGGTATAATGTTTACAACTATTTTTTGTAGTTCTTGTCTGTGTTGGTTAACACGTCAAGAAAAATGTATTTGTTTTTGACGTGCAACTACCATTAAATGGGAATTTTTATGTGTCTAGATTTTATTGATATTCAGCATGGGTACAAGAATCAAACTACTGACCAGAACAAGGGGGAACTCATGGACCCCAGACTAATGGCTGGGAGACCTGCATGGGACTGATCCAGATCCCCCTAAATGTGGGTTTCAGTGAGGAGGCCTCAGCAATCTATGGGACCTCTGGTAGTAGACCAGCATTTATCCTGGTATATGAATTCCACGTGGAAGATGCGCTCTCAGCCTGGGACTCATCGGGGACAGCTTAGGCCCTGCCTGGATGATAAGACAGACTTTGGGGATCCCCCATGGAGGGGCTCACCCTCCCTGGGTAGCAGGGGAGAAGAGAGAGCTGGGATTGACATGAAACAGGCTTGTTTCTAATTTAAATAAAGAAAATCAAACTAGTTTATCAGTAATGACAGAAGTTCCATTGTTTGACCATTAACCATACTGAAAAACAGCCCATACCTGTAAAACGGACCCATTTGCTGCTTCTACAGTAACCTTGGCAGTGGATTCCCAGGAAGTGCCTTTCTCCTGTTTCACATAGTCCACTCTGGCAGCTTCAGTTTCATCTACAAATCCTGTCTGTCAAAGATCATCAAAAACCACTGACTCATTAGCATTCTGTACTAGATACAAAGTAGTATGACACTTAGAAGAGGAAAGAACTGATTAGTTTATATGTATGTCTATAGTGCTGAGTGTTAAACCATTCTGACTTAACACGTAACCAGGCAAATTCTAGGTTAGGTAGACTTGCCTTTTAGTATGACCTGAATACAACCCTTTAGAGCAATGGTTCTGATCCTTCCTAATGCTGCCACCCTTTAGTACAGTTCCTCATGTTGTGATGACCCACCCCCAACCATAAATTTGCTGCTTCATTAACTGTAATTTTGCTACTGTTATGAATCATAATGCAAATACCTGAGATGCAGAATATTCAATATGTGACCCTGTGTTGGGAGGGTCTTGACTCATAGGTTAAGAACCAGAGTGTTCTTAAGAGTGACTTAGAAGGTTTTTCACTACAGAGTTAAGAGTTGTCTCTCCAAGAAACGTACTGTACAGGGTGTGGTGCTGGCAAAACAATTACTTACATGTGTACTTAAAGTACAGCCTAGATGTACTAACTCTTAACACATACACATTATGTTTAGTAACAACTCATAAGTAATCTACAAAATACATAGAACTCAATTAAATACATGCTTAAGTATAATTTATGTTTCCTGATATTCTAAGTCTATGGTTTGACAGGTCTGCTTCTTAGTATTTCAGTTACCCCCTTATATTGTAACACCAGAGTATATAGTGGATCCCTATACTTAAAATTTTAGACTGTACTGAACAAAATACTACTGTACACACCCTTAATTCCAGCACTCAGGAGGCAGGAAGAACTCTGAGATCAAAGCCAGACAAGGCTATCAAAGTCTGTCTCTGCATTTTAGAAAAACATACTGAAGTCATACTAAAATATAGTAAAAACCACAATCCTAGGTCTTGTAATCAACCATGTATAGTCAATTATGATTATCTTATTGCCAAGGTTAACAATGCTTTTGTATTTCACTTATAGGTGCAGTGACTTAATTTACTTCTCTGATGTACGCTCTACTGATTCCTTTTATGTTTATACAAAACACTTCACATTTCTTTCATAAACAACCAGATACTGTGGGGATAGGCTCCAAGAATGAACATGAAATTCATATACCATCCCTTAGGTAACTTTGTACAATATTTTTATGCATGAAATAAGGTTTCACTACAAAGTATTTTCCATGTTTTTTCCTCATATGGGTGGTTCATAAAGTTTCAGATTTTGGAGTACTCTGGATTAGGGATGCTTACTTATCTGTATTAGCACTGTGTAAAACACACTAAAGTTTAAGGCTAGAGTTGTAGCTCAGTAGTAAAGCACTTGTCTAGCATATGCAAAGCCCTGTTTCAAACCCCAGTACCAAGAGGAAAATGTTTAAGCTAGTAAGTAGATAACTTAAAAATATGATAAAGAATAAAACATGGGCTTTATACATGAATAATAAATACCTTTTCCAAAAAGGCTACAACTTTGTTCTTGATTTCTTCAGAACTGAGACACTGTGGAACTATCTCTTCATGATTTGTTCCCTATTAAAAGATCAGAAAAGAAGACAAAGTTCAGCAACTTGTGAAGACAATGGGTTTTTAAACTACCTTAACTGAAGACTCATTTTAAAAGTGAGGGGCAGGGGTCTTGAGAGCTAGGTATCTCAGGTTGAGAGCACTGGCTACTCTTCCAGAGATCCTAACTTTGATTCCTGGGCAACGACATGGTAGCTCACAACCAACCATTTGTCAAGGTCTGGTGCCCTCTTCTGGCCTGCAGGAATACTTGCAGGCAGAATACTATATACATAATAAATAAATCAATCTTTAAAAAAAAAAGAGGCCTACCCAAGGATCCTCAGAGTTCTACAGAGTCTTATACAATGCTGGCTTCTACACACACAGTGCTTCAAGGTTTAATTACTTGAGTCACTCTTAAACCAAAGGCATGACTCCATAGAAATGGGTCCGAGCAGAAGCAATTCCAAAGAGAAGTTCAAGTTCTGCTGTGTGGCAGTGTCTGAGTCAGGCAGTTGACTCCGAATGCTTACTCCCTGCTAATGAGAGAACCTTGAGAAAAGTCACATCATTTCTCTAGGCTTTATAATGAAGCATTGTAAACATATTAATATCTCCTCAGCAGACAATTTTACAACTGAGATACATAAGTAGCTCAGTATTTTTAAATGTTTTAGAATATTAGAAATGTTAAAATATAGAGATCAATACGATAAACTGGTCTTACCTCAGCAAACTGAGTAAATGCCTCCAAAGTGAGTTGTTCTAGCAGCCAATTCCCGCTGGCTAGCAGTAAAGCAAGAATACAAGACAGGTTGGGCAGCACCTTCTCCTACAAAGGGAACCAAATCTTTCTGGAGAAAATACTTCAAAATAGAATACTATCAACTTTTGGGACACATTATATTCTCTATTATTTGCTTAAATCCTTCTAATAATTTCCAATTGCCTTCAGGGTAAAATGAGCAGTTTACAAAGCATCACCACCCAATGCTACACTTGACACCCTGAGTAATCAGGCTTGCTCCTGTCTATGAAACTTTATACTTGTTCTCTATACTTGTGCTCGGAAGTCTTCCAGACAGACATTGCTTTCTCCTTCTCTTTCAGATTTATACTTACCTATCACCTTAGTAAGGGTGGAACTATCCCCTCATATTGTCCCCTCTTCTGCTTTATTTTCTCCCATAGCACACACTACCATGACTCTGTTGTCAGCTGCTTCTATGCACTGAGACTGGGGATTAAGTTTTACACTACCAGTAGTAAAAACAGCACCTCCATCTGTGAGTGTCGAAAATGCTCATCCATCTCCCATCTCTTTAGGACCTGCCCTGACCTGGCCAGGTCTATAAGGCACTGCTATTCTGACAACAAAGCATTTGTTGTATGGGTTCTGTGGCAATGTACCACCTACAGATCTGCAGGAACAAAACAGCACTCTAGAATAAACTTATCTATAATAAAGAATACATGGCTGTAATCTTAGCATTCTGGAGGCTGAAATAGTACTGAAAATTTTAAACCAGCCAGGGCTACATGTTGAGACCCTTTCCAAAAAAAGATGACAGCTCAAATGCAAGTTGGTAATTCTTTCAAAAGAAGAAAAGCTGTCACAATCCATGTTTATCTCATGAAACACACGTATACATGATAGAAACAGATGAATTTGTCATTTTCTTGTGAAGAAGTAAAATAAACCTTTTGAAATTCAACTTGGTTTCACAGATTTTTATCCCTGGGTACTGAAATAGACATTGCACATTGAAAAGGTTCTCACTAGAGAGCTTTTTACAGTAAACTCTTTGAATGTAAAACAAAGCCAAGAATCTAGAAACACTGGGACTTTATTATAATAGTAAGACAAAGACAAAGCTCCCAGTCTAAGAGAATCTAATTTTGTTAGAAGGTCTTAAAATCTTGTAGTAGTCTTTCCCTAGGCCACTAGAATATAATTTTGGAAGCAAAATACACACTTGTCAGCTACACATACTTTACAATATTGTTAAAATACTATCTCTAAAAAATAAGTGCTATTTCTTGAATCTACCCACACAATTAACTAATTATCAAATTTCCTCACTAGACATTATTGCCTATAAAACATGAGTACTTTCTTCTTTTAGATACTGGGACACAACTATATCTCAGAATACAGTAGGCAACTTGATAAATTATTTGAATGCCAACTATTTTTTAAAAGAAAATTACTTAAGGCTGAAGCAAGAGAACTGCCTCAAGTTCTAGGTCAGGCTAGGCTATAGAGTGAGACCCTGTCTCAAAAGCAAAAATCCAAAGCTTAAAATTCCCCTAGTGCTTACAGAGATTTTTAGATTTTGCATTTTAAAGAGTATATTACCTGGATAGATAGAGGTATAAAAAGTCTGCCCAGAGAGGATATAAAATCCAGCACTGCCAGAGAGACATGGTCAGGAGGCTCTAATTTAAGTAGTGAGGTCAGTAAAGTTACTACCTGAGGAGGTAAAAACAAAGAGCAGTTGTTAAGTACCACGGTGGGTTGTGTGGGGAAGGGAAAGCAGACAAGATCCAGAAGCCTCAACTGTGGAAGCTGAGGACTAACATCAGATACAAGAGTTGTTAACATTCCTTCTCACCCTAGTCTCTTGCCTCCAGCTCGTGTGCTCTGCTAATAAGCAATCAGAATTTTGTGTAGTGGTTACCTGCCCAGGATATAGCCAAGTAGGAGTCCTGGTGTTGTGCTGAACTCTGCATTCATACAGTAATTTCAAAGGCACTGTCAGCTAATGTGGGAAAATACCAATACAGAGCTAGGTAGAAATACAAG